TTAGCAATCTCTTGAAGTTTGCTGCTTATAGATGTTATCTGTTTAATATATTATTCACTATATGGTTAAAATTATCTAGAATAACTATTTGTGTCTGTCTCTTTTTTTTGGTGACTATTTCTACTATTTTTTGTTGAATGCTTTTCCCTATTATCATGTTACTTGATAGTATATAAATTTTTAAACCTACTAACTCTAATTGCTTGAAGTATAATATAAGCTCTATTATATACTCGTTTATCTTTTTGACTGCATCCATATGTTTCTTCTATTGTTTATTAATCATAATGCCTATATCTAATCCCTTTTTTTGTCTTTTACTGCACTTGACCAAAATTCTATATATTTCCTATTTGTCATCTGCATTAAAAATCTTTCTTCTCTTCTGTAAGATTTGTTTCTGTAATATTTAATATTGTAATTTCTTCTTTTTTTGCCTAGTTCAACAGATTATTAAGTTTTCATTCTTTGGTTTTAAGTCTATTAACATTGTAACATACTATTTTAATTTTCTTTTTTTCTTTTTTTCATCTTTCTTTTAGTTGTTCTTGTACTGTTTTTGCTGTTTCTTGTTTTTTTTTCTCTTTCTTCTTTTACTTTTTTCTTCTTTTAAATAAGAATGTGTCTTTTCTTTTTTGTTCTTGAAACTTCTTTTTTCATCTTGTAAAAACTCTCTTATCTTCTCATCCATATTCATAAATTCAACTAAGATGCCTTTAGGAGTGATTGGCTATGCTTTCCCTTATCAAGTTACTTACTTTCTCTAATTTTTCTAGTCTTTCTATAATTTGGCCTAGCATATCTTCTATATGTGTGTTTTTTTTTTGCTGATGCACCTTATCTTTCTTTTTTCTTGGCTTTTTTCTTTCTCATTATTTATATTTCTATATCTTCTTTGGTTTTTAATATTATGTCTTAGACTGTTACTTCTTTCTTCTATCATTTGAACTTTTGGTTTCAGGTTTCTTCAATCATCTTTCCTATTTATATATATTTTGTTCTATTGATTTTTTCCTCTACTTTTATCTTCTTCTATATCAGAAATTTGACTTAATCTATCTCAGCTTCTTCCTCTTCTATTTTTGAAATTTTCTCTTCTTTTTAACTCTCTCTTCCTTTTATTAACCCAGTATACTCGAAAATTGTTGTACATAATTGGTTTTGACTATACTGTCTTCATGTCTTTCTCTGTTGTAAATATAATTAATGCTGTTCTCTTTTGGTTTCTATTTCAGTTTGGTGAAATGTATATTGACTTTGCTTCTTTACTTCTCAAGCATTATAATAATAAGACTTCTGAAGCATTTTCAGGTAGCTCTGTTAGTTTGGCTATATGTTTTCTTTGTCTTTCTCTTGCTTCATGGTCTTCTCTTATTCTTGTCACTCTTATCAACTTATTATTGTTTGCTGACAATGATCATAGTATATCTTCTTCTTCTATAATTTATATTTGTATTACTGCTAAAGCCTTGTATTTGAACCTTTTGATACATATTATCTGCACATCTTTGATTCTTCTGCAAATATATTCTACTTCTTTTTTGTTTACATTAGTTGGTAGGTCCCATATTGTTAGATAAGTTATGTTGCTGATGGGTCTTTCCTTTTTTTTATATTCATCATTGTTTGGTTCTTCTTTATTGCCTTCTTTGATCTTTTTTTCCCTAAAACTTAGTATATGTTTTCTTTTATTTTATTGTTCTTTTCTATATTCTTAATTTTTTTTTTTTTTTTTTTTTTTTTATCTTCTGATATTATCTTGTACCAATCATTATCTTTTCTGCTAATTCTTTGTATGGCTTCATCTCTGCCATATTTACAGTCAAAGATTACTTCTATCTAAAGATTTTTTTTCTTAAAAACTTTATTGATATCTTTCACATATATATTATTCTTTAGAGACCATCTAATAAACTTTATATACTTTTCTTCTGTTTTTTCAGAAACATCATATGCTGGTATATTGGCAATTAAACTGTTGTTTTGATCATAATTTCTTCTGCTTGGTGCCTATATACTTTGTTCTAATGTTATTCCTACAATGTTGATTTTTTTCTCTATTTCTTGTTTCTTCTTTTCTGTCTTTCTCTTTCTTCTTTTAGTGTATTTTGTCTTGACTACTTGCTGTTTATTTCTATATCTTCTTGTTTGATTATTCTTTCTTGTTCTTTAACTTCTTATTTCTAAATAGAAGGTCTCAATGAAACTTTGTTATTTACTTCTGTACTTATTTCTATCTCTTTTTTTTTTGCATTATATTAGCTTTCTCTTGTTGTCTTTTTATATTTTCAAGTTTTTTCTTTGCAGTTTTCTTATTTTCTTGTTTCTGTTTAATGTTTTTTTTTGATTTGTTTTTCCTATTTCTTGTTATTCTTTATTATAATCATGTTGAGTTTGTTTTTTTTTTGTATCTTGACTTTTTATAGTCATGTTTAGCTTCTTTTCAGGTTGTTTCTCTTTAACTCTTCTTAATATTTCTCTTGTTAATCATAAAAGAACTACTTCATATGAGTCTTGTTCTGTTAACATTGCTACAATTCTGTCTTCTCTATCTGGTACTATATATGTTTTGTCTGTTTTATTAAAAAAAACTTTGTTATATACACTATTTATTACCCAGTATGCTCTTCTTATAAAAATAATTTGCAAACTCTTTTTATATTTTTATAATATGTTTTTGTTTATTTTGCAGTTTATTTTTTAGAATGTTCTATTACATGATTTTGTTATATCTTGTTTATCTATTGTTCTGTTGATGTTTTGTTTATACTATTTATTTTACTATTCTACATGTGTCTATTTTGTCTAATCTGTTATGTGTTACTTGTGTAATATAAACAGATCAATATACAGGATTGATAGCAATCCCTACAATTTTTGTTTGCTTACTAAATTTTTTAAAGAAACTTGAGTTTTCCTCTATGATTACTTTGTTAGTGCCTATAATACTTCCTATTACTAAGCCTATTTAGTGCTTTTCTTGCTGCTATCTCTTTTTTTTAGTGTTGTTTGTAATCTTTCTTATTGCTAGTTATGCAGAAAATCTGTTTTCTTTTTCACCAATTTGTGTTCAAGTGATCATTAAGAAGAGTCGTACTGATATGCTATAACTATTTTATTATACTATATTTCTTAATTTACCTAATTATAATCTTACTATTTATTTCTGTTAGTACTCTTTTTTTTCTTCTAAATTAGTTAATTTTACTAATTTTTTGTTTTTTTTTGTTACTAATTTAATATATTCAACTTTTCATATATTAGTACTAATTAGTATAATTAGATTTATTAAGTTTCTGAATTATAATTTGTAACTATTATATTTATTTTTTGTATACTTTTATAGTTAGTTTTAATTATATTATAAGCATATATATTTTTTGCAAATATCTATAAATATACTATTATTATTATACTATTATATTTTTAAATTAGTATTGTAAGAAGTTCTAAAATCTTAACTTATTGTATACAGATATAAAAACTATTAACAATATTGTAATATATAACTATTAATTTTGTTTTTTTAAAATTTATAATATTTATTAAAAATGTTTTAATTTTGATTAAACTAATTTTTTATTACAAATCTTCTTTGCATATACTACTTTACTTATTATTTTAATTTTTAATTATATTAGTATTACCCTTCTAATCAAATATTTTGCAAGTTAGATACAAGAATAATAGTACTGTTCTATTTTCTAAAAAACTTATTTGTATAATATTTTATATATCAAAACATTCTGTAATACTGTTATTACAAATAACTTTTTTTTTTTTATAAAATTGATCTTTTTTCAAAAATTTCTATTTTATTTTAGTATTTTATTTTAAAACTTTTCATAAGACTTCACATTTGATTTAGCTTTTATTTTAAGTTATAAAGTTTAAAATTCTTAGATTTTATCTCTAACACAACTCAAACTATTAACTTTGTTTATAAAAAGTTAACAACTTAATCATTAAGTTATAAAACCCAACTTTTTATTAAAACATTTTAATATTTTAATTTTTTTTAAAAAAAATCAAATAATATGTAATCAAAAATTTATTTAATTTTTTTTATAAATATGTTTTATAAATCTTCAAATATTAAATATATTTATTTAATATATAAAATTTTATGTAATTACATTTTAATTCAAATATATCAGGTTTGTATATCATGCTTAATAAGACGACCAATATTTATTAATATAAATTTAATTCATACACATTAAGCATTTAATCATTATTCACCGTTAATATTTAAAAAAAAAAAACATTTAATCATTATAGTAATTAGTTTCGTATAAGCAATATCACGAAATGATCTACAAAAATTAGCCAATCGGAATAAAAGCCGCTATGCCGATACCCGGGTCAATCACTACAAATGCTAAACATATTTTTTTCCTATAATTACGTAAAAAAGATTAATGATAGTATAAACAAAACAAGTAGCTGATATTATAATAACAAATTTATATGAAAAACAATCAGAAACGAGGAATCCCAGTTGTTTACGTTTGATCAACATATGTAAATTCAGATGCATCAAAAAACGTCAACATTCATCATCTTTTCTTTTATAATTTGATAAAATTAATCTTACTTACCAAACAAAGAAATAATTCTTTTTTAGAATTTAAAGGCGCAGATATGACATAAAATTATTTAGTATCAATTGATAACCTAACAGTAAGATAAATTACAAACCAAAAATTATATTCATAACACTGGTGTTATATAACACCTATATTGATGCTTGTATTGGTCTGAGTTAGAGTCGAAGTTATAGGTTAGGGTAAATATATAGTTTAATAATAGGGCGTTATATAACATGGTGTTATTAATATAACTTTCCATTACAAACCACATATTTCATTTTCCCTTCTTTCTACCTGATTTTAATACCAGCCTCGACTTGAATTTTTTTAATTTATTATGTTTTTTATTTCTTGAATGAATAATTTTTTTCTTATTGTTGCCTTTTATCTTGATACTAAAACATTCATTCATTTCAATTGATGGAACATAAAACCACTATAAATACTATAAATACAAGGATGACTATTGTACACGTACCTTTTTATTTTAGATGTTGATCTCATATCTTGACTACCTTCATTTTTACTCTACAAATGATATGAATTAACGAAATATATTAGAAGCCAATGACTTTGCAAATTTGCTTACCATCTTGTTATCAGCGTCAAGTTTGATTTCTTTCGATGCACTTCCGAATGCAGTATTTTCAGAAACATTAAAATCTTCAATTACTGTCACAGTTGTCAAGATTTGTGGTGTTTTATACTCTGATATTTGTGCTTGTGGGCCCATTTTAGTCACTTCTTCCTTATCACCGTCATCATCATCATCGTCATCAATACCATTTGCCCCTAATGAAGAATAGATAATAAGCGTAAGACTAACAGACTAGGAAAACCCGTAAACAGTTTGGATCCGGAGCGTCGCTTTATAATAAACAATTATTATCATGTACTATTGAACATTGAATACAGTATCCAGGATCTTATTTAAGAACTTTGAAAATTCTACGAATTAATGTACGAGTATTATTAATGAATTTAGTGAATTCAAGGTGCTTTATGTGATAGTATTTTTTTTTAAAGGATACTGTATGCAGTGGTTCAACAGTAATTAATGAGTAATTTAAATAAAAATGGTAATGCCGACATAATCTAAGACATTGACTTCGCTCTGGATAAGTTATAATAAATCTAATAATTAAATATTACTGTTAATCATTGCTTGAGTCGCCGCCAAATTTTCTTCAATTTGTCTCATTCGCACTTCTTTGGCCTAACATAATTTATTTCTACATTGATTTAATAATTACATTTATAATTTCTTTAAAAAAAAAATCTTACAGCTTTTTTTGCTTCAGTCTTCACTTTTTTTTCTCGTTCTAAAGCAGTTTTCTTTGCTCTTACTTGTCTTTCCAACTTTCGCTTATGAAACCCTGTTAAATATTCTCTATAAAAGCGAATATAAAATTTTAATAAAAAATATAAGTAAAAATATATAGATAGTTTGATTTATACCTTCTTGCAGTTTCATCGAATACAATTTCCGGAATTTGGTCATTTTTTCTTTTACGCTTTTCAGAATATATTCTACTTCCTTCCGTTAGTAAGGTTAAGTTGTCCATTTTTTAAAGACATAAGAAGCAATGAAGTCGTCATCGGTTATCAAAAATTTTTTTGCAATGTGATAATAAAGTTAACTTTGGTATGACTAGTGACAATATAGTTAACCAATCATTAGATGTTACGAGAAAGATATACTTGCTTGTAGTGATCCTGGCCGAAATTAAAAAAATCGGCTAAGCCGATTTTTCGACCCGGTTAGTCAATTTTTTCTAAAATCGGCTAGCCGATTTTATAAGTAAAATTTTTTTTCTCTAAACGACTTATTATTTATTACAGTATTTCACGATAGGCATTTAATTTTGCTTACAATACACTTGATGACTTTATTGCAAACACTAGATTACAATTGTTTTGTAACCAGATTTAATTTTTTTTACAATTCTTTTAATAGACCTTTCTACTCAACAATAAAATATATGCTGTTCGATAATAGATTAGAATTTATTTATTTAAAAATTTTGAAAATTTCATTCTAAATCGGGGTAAGGGTTAAAACAGTGTTGATTTTCTTTTAGGAAAAGCAAATCATGAACTGTGTTGGGATGAAAACGGGCTCGTTTATCAGTAATTGTGCTTCCAGTATTAGAAAACAAATGCTCAGATGGAACAGAAGTTTCAGAAATACATAATAACTGTTGTGCTTGGTGTGCCATTAAAGGAAGACTTGATTTGTTATCATGTCAAAAGGTTAATGGGTTATTTTTTTTATAGAGAAGATCAGAAAGATCATATTTAACCATTTTAGGTATATCAAAATAAATCTTTAGTTCAGTTTCAATAGGGCATAACTGGTGGGTAGTTTCTTCGAATAGTGAGCTTAATAGTGAAGTAGGTGAATTATTGTTTGATAAGGAATAATTATTATTTTTTATACTTTTCATCATCTTGTATTTTAATTCATCTTTTGTTGATTCAAATTTTGTTGGTTTAAAACCTAAGTCTTTAAATCTTAGATCTAACATTGCTGCAATATATCCTTCTGACCTAGGTTTTTACCAATATTCATCAAATGATAGTTCAATTTTATTACATATATTACAAACAATCAAATTTGTGAGAGTTTCTTCTTTTCAATATAAGTGTTTTTACAAAATTCTAACTAATGAAAACATCATTAAAAGAGTAGAATAATGATTTCTATCTACTATAGTTGTAACATATGCAAATAGACCTAACAATTCGACTAACTTCTAGATTTTTAATAACTTATCATTATCAAGAAGTAACTTTTCAAGTGCTTTAGTATTATTTTTAATATCTTTTTTTTTATCTTTTATAAGATCTTTTTAGAGTTTTTTTATTGCTTCATAAAGTACAAATAATCAATTTAGTAAGAAATATGTAGAATTTCATCTGATTGTGATATTATTTGAAATTAGATCCAAAATTGAAGCATCTTTATTATTGATTAATAAGTTTTTTGGTTTAGATATTTCAAGTTGTATTGATTATAATTTTTCTCTATATTTGTCTTTTCTAACAACAAATGTATTTAGAGTTTTGGTATAATTTATGAGATTATCTGCATACTTTAAACTATTCCTAATTTTAAGCTGAATAGTATGAGCAGTGTAACAAATATGTAAGGTTCTAATATCTCTTAAAGCTTTTATCATTAAGTTAGTATTGTCAATTACATCTGCTACATATTTGTTATTTAAATTTTATTTAACTAATTCTCTTTTTAAATAATTTTCAATATGTTTAAATATATGTGAATATGAAAAATTTTCAATTGTAAGTAAATTTTTATGCATTTTAAATTTTGAAGAAAGCTAGTGTATTGTAATTCTAATATAAAGTGTGTAAATTTTAGTTCACAAATCAGTAATAAACATAAAATATTCTAATGTGTTATTAATTAAATTTTTTAGACTATTTTCAGAATAACTTACTGATTCAAATAACTTTTGCTTAGTTAAATCTTTATCCAGAAATTGGAATTGTGGTTTTGCTTTATATAAGATATCTTAAAATTGTTCATTTATTAAAATATTAAAAGGTTGTATATTATCAATTATTCATACTAGTATTCTAGAGGTAATTCTATTTTATTTTTTATTTGGAAGTAGTTTTTAATAATTGACTAATTCTAATAAAATAGATTATGATGAGTTTAATTTAACAGGCTATAACTATGCTACTTTTTTTTTACTACTTAAAAGTAATAAAAGACCAGTTTTACTTAATCTATATGCAGTTCAAAGATGGTTAGCTAAATTTGTTGTACTTGTTATAATTTTAAATATACTTGTATATTATTCAAGATTATTATTACTACTGATCCATACTTAACAATAGATTATTTTAGCAAGTTTGTCTTTTCTTATATAATGTCATATTCAACTTTTTTCTAATTTAGATTTTTTATTAGCATTTTTATTTTATAAGTTACTATTACTTTTTCTTTTAATTATAATATTTTGTTGTGATGATGTTGATGTTTTTGTGATTATATTTGAGATTCTTTATCTGAAAAAGGTTTACTATTTATAAAGAACTTATCTAAAGAATATTCATTATTTAGTATTAATAGATTTTTATCTAATAATAAAGGTTGCTGTTTGTTAAATAATAAAGGTAATTCTTTAGATAATGACCAAGAAGATTCTTTATTTGGTAATAATTGAGATTCTTCTAAATGTGTGTATTTATCATTAGAAAAAGTTTATAAGGACATTTTTGTATACTATATTAAGTGCAATATAATTATCTTTTTATATATATATAACTTTGAAATTTATTATAACAATTCTAATAAATATTTCAATTTGTTAATTAACATATTTTACAATTGATATATTTAATTGTATACTAATAATACATAAAAGCAGAATTCAGCTTTGCTAAAAGCCTATATAATAATAAGAATCTGGGCACATGTGTGAATACAATACTTGTATTTAGCACCTGCAAGACTATAATAATAACTATCATGTTTTTTTGATTAGAGCTTGTAAAATCTTATAACAATATATAATCGAATATAAAATTGAAAGTTCAAATTTTATATGTATTATTAGTAAGCCTAAAGCTTTTACAATGTATACTGTTTTCTTATTTTTTTTCTTTGTTGTATATAACAATGATTGCAATAATGATTAGTCTTTTTAAGCTAGATTCTTTTTTTGCATATATATTTAAATTAGTTTTATTGTTTTATTATTATATTATTCTATTTTAATAAGTTAAATACTATTTTTACTAGAGCTTGTAATTTACAATATCTCTAAAAAATCTGTATTTAAATCTTAAAACATAGCAAATCACAAATTTCACAAGCCTTTAATTGTTACTTTGTATTTGTTAACATTATTATCATATCAAGTGAATCTTATAGTAATATCTTATGGCATAATTTAATATAATTTATTATATAAGTAATATTAACAAAATATTAGAAATTTACAGAATTATTAATAGAGCTTTAATATGCTCTTGGCAAATAAATAACAAGAGTAATTTGATTCGATTAAGAAATGTGTTACAATAAAATTTACATGTTGTTTATTAAAATATTCAATAAACTAAAATAGTTTATATATAGAAGTTTTGCAATTTTTGTTATATGATTAAAGCTTTTTAGTACCTATTAGTTAATTATAATAAAATTATAAATTAGCTTTACTAATTTAGATGCAAACATGTTGCAAAGCTGTCTCTTCTTAGATAGAATAAAAATAAATTAATATCATATTCTTAAAAAAATAATTTTTGCTTCATATACTTATTTTCATTATATTGAACTCTCATTATAGTAAAGATTTAACATAATGAAAAATTTTGAATTCAGGAATTAATAAACTCAACTTTATATAGTGAAGATTTTTTTTTCTTAGCCTGAATGCTTCACTATAACAAGATATAATAAAAGCAGGTTGTACTACAAAAATTAAAACCTAAAATAAATATTTAAGTTTTCAGTATAGCAAACTTGATTTAAAAATTATAATTTGAATCACAAATATAATCAGTTTGTTATGATGAAAACTTGGATAGTCATTACTGTTATGCTAATATGTATAAATTGATTGATTGTCAAAAATAGGTTTATTAAAGTTTAATTTAATAAATCTTTAATTTTCTAATTATATATAGTAAGATAATTATTGCAGATTGCTTTATTTAAATTATAACTCATCTAAATATTTTTTGGCTAAGCTAACTAAACTGATAAAATTTTATTGACTTGGTTGGTCAAAAAATTTTAATTGATCAAAATTACTATTTGCTTGTTGACAAGAATTAACAGATTGAAAAGACAGAGAGCATTTGGCAAGGGTTCTACATCATGTATTGCAACTCTTACTCTGATATAAGATGCAATTAGTGCCAAATTATTAGAACATGCTACATAATCCTAAGCCACTAAAAGCTTATATAAAGGTCGAGAGAAAAAGAACCTATTTATGCATTCTTTTTTCATCAAGCATCCAATTCATATAGATAGCATTTTTTGATCAAAAAATATATATAATAAAAATAGATAAAAAACAAGTAAATAAATAAATAAATAAACAAATTTTTAATTTATAAAATTAACTTTTTTTTTGTAGATTCTTTAATTAACAATCATCAAGAAGCAAAATGTTAAAAAATATTAAAAAACAAGATTTAAGTCTATAACAAAAAGATAGAATAACAAAAGTTATACCTAGTTTAAAAAAAAACATAAAAAAAAAAATACAAAAACAGTAAAAAACAAAATATAAAGAATTTTTAATAAAAAATAAAGGATTTACAAAAATTTTAGAAAATTTTTATAATTTTGTCTTATAGATTTTCTAAGTTATGCAGAAAGATACAATAGAAAAAGTAAAGTAAATAAACAAATATATATATTAAATTAGTTTAATTTAAATAAATACATAATTTAAAAATATTTAGAGACCAACCAGGCTGCCAGGATCACCAGAGAAAAAGGATACTAAGATATATCATACTAGGCTATCTGGATTAAAAGTCCAGAGAGTCCTGTCAATTCTGAGTAGCGGTTAGTAGAAAACGATAAAAAGGATGTTGAAAAGATAGTTACCAGAGTTTGGGGTAAACCTTACAAGGTTAAAAGCAGTTTAATGGTTAGCCTTGACTGCAAGTGATGGTTTAGACCAAAGCATAACCAGGTGAGCTATAAGTATAGGATACAAAATGCACTGGTAGGTTTAGTACAAAGTTAAACATGACTTAGTAACTATGGCATATCTTTACTGGTTTACCAAAGTTGCTAGTAAGGTGTGGTGGATGCAGAATCAAAATGTTTAAATAGAGGATCTACAGATAGGTTCTAGATATAGCAACTAGTATAGAACCTTCAGATGAACTACTTAAATTAGACAATGACTAAAGTTGTATGAGTGGCTAGTTGTACACTCTTTCTGTAACTGCTTCTGCATCTGTACATGTACAGGTGCTGGCCAACTTATACTATCAGTAAAATCCTGAGTTCCATGTATTTACTTTAATATTTAAAAAAAAAATTAAAAAAAATATTTAGAAAATAATCATATAATATAAATAAAAATTTGTCAAAAAAATACAAAAAAAATCTTAATATTATTTTTATAAAAGAGCATATTAAGTAACAAACAGTATATATAATAAAAATTTTTTTAATAAAGTAACTAAAACATATGCAATATCTGATAAAAAAAATAGTATTGTTGTATTATTTATAAATTAAGATCTAAATTAAATAGTTTTCTTATAAATAACAAAAAAAATATTAAAAAAAAACAAAGAAAAAATAACTAAAAAAACCTAGATATTGTAAAGTAAATTTAAAATAAAATAAGAATAAAAAAAACTAGAATAACAACAAATAACTAAAATAAGAAATAAATAAAAAGATCTAAATAAAAAAACATAAAAGAGAAAAATATAAAATAAAAAAATCTAATAAGAATTTATAAAGAAGTATTGAAACTGTATAAAAAAAAGTAAGTATAAAGATAAAATAAATATATAATAGTCAAATAGAAGGGTGTAAGTTCTATAGCTTAGCAGTTAAGCTCCTATACCCTTTATAGTTAAGGTTAATAGTTCAAGTTCAGCTGGAGGCAAAATTGAAAGATTTTAGTTTCTGTAATCTAATAAGAAGTCTGTAATTGAATATGAAGCTCTGTGGTTAAATCCAAGTGCAGTACAATAATGGAAATAGAAATTTCTAGAAGGAGACCTAATTATGAAGTATAGGCACTATGCATAACAAGTGGTTGTTATAGAAAGTTATAGTTATAGAAAGAATGCACATGTAAGTTCTTTAGGCTAGGGCAGCACCAACATCCTTATACCTCCTAATATAGGTAGTACCAACATCCCTGCACTCAACTTGTAAGATACTTGCTTGGAAGGATAATCAACTGATTGTGCAAATAAGTCTTAATTAAAATTCAAGAAGAGGATTTGATTGGGAAAATATTCTGAAAGTAACCAAAACTAGAATGATGAGAAAAGTGGTAAACACAAGGATGAACTGTGATAAAAGATTAGTCTAACCAAAAATTGGAAGCACCTCTGGCACAGCCGAATAATCTAATTATAGAAGAAAAAAATCTTGAAAGTTAACATATAACTTTCTTGTACAATGTAAAAGTACCAAATCAGGTTTCTGGTCATACCTATATAGAAGTTTATGACAAATAAGATTGGAATTAATTAATCAATATGAGATAAGATCTGCAAGATAGTATAACATTATTGGGGTCAGTGTAACTTCCTAAGACATAACCAGAATTGTTCTACAAGTATTATCAAATAAGTTAGGAGCTTGCAATATATGATAGTATGATATCACTGAGATTGGAAGAACTTTCTAGATATAATCAGAATTGTCCTGTTTGTAAGCACAACAAGTCTCAGTTCCCATCATAGAAAGAAGCATCATGTTGGAGGTTAAATGCAACATTGAGTTACTGTATAATGTTAAGACCTGGAGCATCTGCAAGAATGATAGTAACAGACTTGACTTGAGATATGGATTAGTTAAAAAGACCAATGGTAATAGCAGATCTGGCTTGAGATACAGGTTCTTTGCAGATTCTGGATTATTGTCAGAACACCTTAGAAGAATTAATAACAGATATACCAAAGATAAAAAGATTATAAGAATCAAACATATCTGAGTAGGACCAATTTGGGAATGATATAGTAACAAAAAGGTAAGAAATATGAGGAATAAGGTAATACTAGATATAGTTAGATTAAAAAGCAGAAGAAACAAGACCAGGTAAAAACATATAAGTAGGACATATGAGTACAATTTACAGAAAACAGTACCTCTGGCATTTGGGATACTATATTAAGTTTGGTAGGTATTCTTGTCTGTGTAGTAGTTTAATGATGTACTCTGACTGCAAGTGGTTGTTAAGATAACTGCATGCAGGCATATGGCAAATATGCACTTAGGTGCTATATGGGTAACCAAGTGAAGTCAGTAGTGTAAAATTAGATAATATATAGTACTAGTAATAATTAATTCTAAAAATGTAACTGTAAAAATTTGTACTATATCAAATTAAAGCTAATAAACCAACTAGCTAAAGATGCACCAGTTTAGTTCAGTCCATTTTAGTTCTTAATAAGACCAATTACATAGTACTTACAGTTTGATTCAGTTCCAAGTTATGGTTCCAAAACAGTCTTCTATATGCAGGTAATTTTATTGTGATTGGTCAATTTTTTACTAAATATAACTGAGCATCTTTAACTTACTTATATATATTACTGTATTATTATAAGAAAAAAGCATTATTCGAAACATTATAGATCATACTCTAACTTTTTAATTTCTTATAGCAGTTTTATAGTTGACTTAGAGTTAAGAAGAAAAGTATTAATCAAAACAAATTACAAAAGCATCGTACTGGCTTACTTGAATCTTATAAAGCAGATCAGAAGTAAGAAAAATCAAACAAATGCATTTACAAGAATACTTTCATAAACTATAATCATCTTGAATCAAAGAAAAGCATTTAACTTCTTCAGTCTTATTGGTAATTAACTTAGATTAGAGGTTTGACTTCTTTGAATCTTACTGGTAATTAATATATATTAGAGGTTTAACTTACTAGTGATCAACTTAGATCAGAAGATATATAATATAAGGCTTTTTAGTCAACTACAGAAGTATGACTAACTGGTTTAAAAATAATAACTTTGTGAAAATCATAGCAGGCCATAAGAGTGTATAACTAGAGAAATTATTTAATAAGTGATTTTTTACAATTCTTGTTTTTAATATTTTCTAAATATAGTAATACAATTTATTAACTTTTATCTTTTGTAAATATGTTTCATTTAATTTACTTATAGTTTAAGGTAATGTATTTTGCAAAGTTATAACTTTTAAAACTTTTTATTGTTCAATAAATAATAAAAACTTCATCTAATTATATATATAGAAATATAAATAAAGATAAATTTTTTAATACTAATAACATCAATAACCTATCTAAAAATTCCTAACTTTATTGCTATATTTTGTTGATGGCCTAAATAGCTATATTTAATTCTGAAATTATTGCCCTAAAATGTAAGTTACTAGCAAAAAAAAAAAATTTATTAGAAAATATGATTAAATTAACTTGTCAGTTATGAATTAATTGCATATTTTTTCTTATATTCAGCTCTTTAAGCATAAAATTGCCCTTGCCATTTCTTTGTCCAACCTATTTCTTAATGAAGTGATGATTTGTCTAGCAATCAAAAAAGCCTGCTCAGAAGCTATACTTGTTGCTTGGATATACAAATAGTCTCTGGCAATAAGACTTAATCTTAAATATTTATGCTGTTTTACTTGCCACCAAATGAGTAGATCTACTTCATCCTTCAAAGGTAAAGCTAAGTATCTTTTTAATTCATCTCATATGCAATTCATTATCGGCAATAAAAAATCTGAATTATCTTCTTGTAATAGGAAGTCAGATGAGCATAATTGGTAAAAATAATTTTGTGTATTTGATAGATCATTAGAAGAGATAATGGTTGGTTTTGATATTTCTGAATAATATCCATTAAGGTTTGATATTAGATTTATTGCTTTAATTTTTTTATCCATACTTTTAAATGTTGTTAATTTTATTTTCAGATCAAGTAATGATAAAACTTCTTAAGTTTCATCTAAAATTAGCCAATAACTATCTAATTTTGATAAATCACATTTGCTACTTGTTTTTGAAAGAAATTAGTATTATCCTTCAGGCCATTATGATCTGCATCAGTCAATAATATAATTATTTTTTACTTAAAAATTCCAATAATACGTATCAGAATTTAAACTTTATTAAAACAATTTATATATATAATGCTAATTCTATTACATATATGTATGATGCATATTAATTTATTTAAGAATTACAGTACTAGCCGTAATGTAATAATTATTAATAATTTGTGATTTTTTCTTTTTTTGTTTCAAGAGTTGATGGCCTCCAAGTGTCGTATTTTTTTTGAATGAATTAGGATGAGGGTTTTCAGGATCATATATACTAGGATTAGTTGGAGGAATAGAGTTAATTTGAATATTTGATAATGGTGTGTGGGTTTGAAAATCATGATTAATCTAAAAAAAAAAATAAGAAAAATTAAAATTTTCAACTTATACAAATTAAAAAAAAATTATATATTTGCATTACCAAGTTTGTAGCATCTTGATCACTTTGTTCAATAATTTGTATGTTTTGCTCATTCTAACAATATGTATTTAGTTGTATTTTATATAACAAAAAAAAAAAAAAAGTATTACCAAATCTTTGTTATCTTGATTATTCAGTTCAATTGTTCAATCTTCATTATCTTGATTATTCGGCTCAATTGTTTGTATGTTTGAATTATTCTAAATACAAGTATTTAAATATTATAATAAATTATATTAAATATGAATTAAAATTATCAGAATTTAAAATAAGTTACCTTAATATTACTAATGCTTGAATTAATTATTGCAGATAAACAATCTTTTTTTTGTTGTTCAGAAGGGTGCGAATAAATTCCAACAGAGCTTTTACTTTTATGTCCAGTGATTGACATTAAAGTTGAATTAGGCATTCCAAGTTGATATAAATGTATAATTAAAGTGGTACAGCCTGAATGGTTGACTATATTTCGACCTTCAATTTTAATTCCACAGGATTCGCAAATCTTCCTTAACATAGTATTTATTGAATGATTACCAAGTTTTTTATCTTTATACCAGATATCTCCTAAAATTAATATGTATTAGTATTAATATAAATATATTCAAGAAAAAACTTGTTACTAAACTAAATCTATAAACAAGTTTTTTCTTGATAATATTCTTGTAATTACCAATTGGATTTTTTGCCAATTGAAGATGCAAATTTGGCATAACACAATCATTGGGTCGTTTAGAAAAATAAAGTTGAATATTATGAACAGGTCCAGGTTTTTCAAGAGGATCTGGTGGAATTGGAATACTGGTTGCATTACCATTATCATCTAATCCTCCTTAATTATTTTTTTGGAACCATTTTGTAAAAATAATTCTACCATCAGGAAGAAATTTAAATTGTGAAATTTTCATTTGGCTGTGCTCACCACCTCATGGTGCACAAAGCATACACATCTACATAAATACTCGATATTGTAACCCTTGAGCATGTGATGCTGATACGTTTGGATAATTAAATATAAGAGAAGTTTCTTCTTCAGTTAATGGATCATGATGTTGTGAAATAATTCCATTTCATTTCAACTGTTTCATTTTGCCATCTAATGTATTTCACAAATTTCTAAAATTATCTTTGTGTGACAACTTAAATTTAGCAGGACCAGTTTGTGCATCATAAATCCATTGACTTAATAGGATTAATCCATTTTTTAAAGAAGATGGTGAATATTCTTTTCCATTTTTAAGTTGTCATATACCAACTATAAATTCTTGCATCTCCCGTTCAAGTTGAGACTTGTCAGTTATAGTTTCAATATCATAATTGTATCCACTTTTTTACACCAATTCTTAAGTATATTAACCCATTTCTCAATAGATTTCATAATGTTTACTGGAACCCGTAAGTTAGTAATTTGATCTAATTCTTCAGCTGACAGCAAGTAGCTTTCTTAAGAGGAATTTGCACACTATACATATAAGTATTTTTTTAGTAAATTTTTAAAATTAATTTTAAAAAAATACGAATTTTATTTACATTATATTTTAAAACTTTAGGCATATTTAAATTGAATAGCTAACTATGTAGAAAGAGTTTTAAAAAATAAAAAGTTTATATTTATAGTAAAAAAAGGTTTAATGCAGATCGGCATGGCCAGAAGGATAATACTGTTACTGGGCACGTAATCTACTAATAACTGCCTTATTCGTCAAAATTTTTAATGAATAACTATATATTATTAACCTCTTTTGCAAATGACAACTTAAAGTAATTACAGCTTATGGTCTAATAGAAGAAATAACAGCAGGAGATGGCATAAACCAAGGAGAAGTAATCTTCTCACTAATTTGGCAGCTATTCTATGATCTACTATTGAAGAGAATTCAAAAAGATGAATTATTAAAATATATAGTAGAACAAGAAACATCAAACAATGCAGACATTAACTGTATTACAATATTCAGACAAGCAGCAATTGCTTATGCTGATGATACTATGTGAATCGCAAAAAGCAAGGACCAATTGCTGAAAATTCTTGAAATTGCAGAGAAGTTCTTTAAAGCAAATAATATTGAAATAAATGAAGCAAAGTCAAAGCTCATAGTAATGAATTTGAGACAGAAAAAGAAGATAGAAAAATCATATTCGGACAGAGTAGAATAACAGAAGAACCAAAAAACAAAATCATAAGATTATTAGGAATTTGGCTAAACAGCAGAATGAGAGAATCGCTAGTCTGCAAAAAAGCAAAAGGAATAGTTAGTCAAACAGTCAAAGACCTCAAATATAAAAAAATAACAATGAGCCAAATTGTATATATAAACAATATAGTAATAATTCCAAAGCTAGGATACTTTTTGCAGTTGACAAAGGTGTCAAAAAAAATGATTGATAGAATACACCAACTGATAATATGTCTAGCCAAACATAAATGCAACATAATGAAAACCACATACAACTGCACAATTGAACACAAAGATTTAGGAAACTGTAAATCCTTAAGCCAAGAAATAGCAACAAAGCAAATAAGTAGTTTATTTGCAAGACTTAATAGAAAAGACTCTCTAGGTGATCTAACAAAGCTGAGAATAGTACAAGGATGCCAGAAAGCAGGCTTAATAGAAGATATTTGGAAGTCTGAAAGAAGGCCAAAAGAAACAAAATATTGAAAACACAACTTAGCTTGTCGAACAATAGTCAAGACAAAAGAAATAGGAATAAATATCAAAGCAGAAAACTGCCTCTGGAAAATTTACAGCCATGGAACAAGAATAAGAGACCTAGTTAAACCCAAGTTATGGATAGCAAGCAGTGGCACAATAAATGAACAGGGCCTACTATACTTGAACCAACTTATAGATATAAAAAGAGAAAGCTTAATCACATGAAGACAGCTTAAAAGTCTCCAAGGACTGTCATGCAAAGGAAAAAAAGCTAAATGGTTCAATGAAATAGAAGAAAAGGTATTAATAATGCAAACAAGTAGAGAAATATATGATCAATATAAAACTAATGGCTACAATACTCAAGTACTAATGATTAATTAGACAAAAATATTTGAAGACAAAAGAAAGAAAAAATGGATCATATATGGACCAAAACACAATCAACAACTCAGCAAGATATTAAAAAAGAAAAAAAAAAAAATTTTAGCTAAACATTGGCTTTTGCAGAAAATAGAAGAAAAGATATATACAGAAATAAGCAAATGCAAAGAATGTAAGGACAGTATAGAACAACTAACAGATAATTGTGTAAAGTAGATAAGATGGAACAATAATATGAAAGTAGTCTCAAAATTACTAATAAAAAAAGGCAATAACAAGATAAATGCAACATAAGAACAAATACTAGAAAACAGAACAATGAAGAAATAGAAAGAAGAAGAAAGAAGTCTAATTGGCCTAAAACAAATAGAAGAACTCAAAATAGAGATGACCAAAAAACAGAAATTAGATAGTGAAATTACAGCTTACTTAGTAGAAGTCCTAACAAGAAACAAAATAAGAAACAAAGATGAGTATATCTTTTATACAGATAGAGCATTATATAAAGAAAAAAGAGTAAATAGCAGAGAAAAGATAGGCATAGGCTGGGTACAGATTAACAAAGAAGAAAATTGGCCAAAAGAAGAAACTGCATTAGGTCTTAAGGGCTGGCCTTCAGTAACAACAGCAAAATTTGTAGCAATATAGTCAGCAATTTTGATGATTCCAGAGGGGAAAAATATAGAAGTACATACAGACAGCCTTGTGGTATTAAGAAATATTAACAGAGAAATTTAAAGGTCAGAAGATGCCAAAATTCTTAAAAAGAAAAATGCAATGTAGATAATAAACATTGTAGACCTAATCAAAAGCAAAAATAACAGAATCAAGCTAATTAAAGTCAAAAGTCACAATAATGATAAGTGAAATAACAGAGCAGATGCACTTGCAAAGAAAGGAGCAGCATATAAAATAGCAATATCTATAGAGAAGATTAAGTGTAACAGAATAGAGTACCATTTAGAATGGGAAAACAAAAAAGTTGATATACC